TGCGTTTTAGATAGCGTAAATTGACATGCATAAGTGTACAAATTGTACCTAGATGAATACATGACTTTTGTATTAAATTAATTAAATATATAGAAAGTTCATTGTATTATCTAAATATATAAAACAATGTCGTGTTAGTTACACCACTTATAACTCAAGATCGGCTGGACCTATGCTAGTTATCTCTTTTTTGTTGGATTCTTCTCCGCTCCGAATAGCAGAATAAGTAATAAAATATCGGATAAGTTATCGAATAACAATAAATAAGTAAATTAATTTTACGAATGCAAACAGCATGTGGTACCATCTGTTGACAAAACTACTCATCAAAAAATGTTGTATATCAGAAAGTACTTTAACATGCATTTATCGCAATATTGGCGCTAGAGAGAAGAGGCCTAATGTGTAAAACTGCCAATCTCTCGCAATGGCACGCAATAAAACATTTCTGTATTTGCCAAAACAAGTTGTATTAATGTTAACGTAATGAAATCCTAAAATAAGTTTTAAGTTAACACGATATTATAAGATTGTAAGGTGGAACGAAGTTCGCCGGGTTAGCTAGTTTTGTATATAATTCTACGTAAGAACTACGATGTGTGTTAGACATATATTATGTTACATGTAGAACCTATGGAACATGCTTATATGAAGAAAAAACACGTTTAAATGGTCATATGAATCTAATGAACGTTCCTGGGGTCGTGTTTTCCAATTTTGTTACCAAGGTATTCGTTATATGAACAAAATAATTTTCTATTCACCAACAGTTGATGTTAGTTTTAATAGTCTATGGATTACTGAGTATATATTTGTTTATTGGTAAAAAGCTTCTTAATAAGATTACCTTGATTATTTTAATTATAACGTATCTGTGACATATTACAGATTATGTATAATTAAAAAGAATATTCAAGGTAATAATCTGAGTTCTGGGTTAAAATATAAACTGATTTTAATTAATGCTTGCTGCAAAAAACGCGTTAAAGTGGTCATATAAATCAAATAAACATTAAAAAGCCTGAGTTATGTATTCTTTCTATATGAACAAAATCATATTATTTTATATCCTAGGTAATATTACATAAGATCTCTAGGCATTCACCTGGGAATGTGTAATATTTGTAGGTCAGATGAAACTGATATTTCTTGAGAAAGAAAATAATATTGTGTGAGAATTATGGCTATCATATTCATTAATGGTGATATTTAATTTTAATAATTTGTTGTTTATTCTGTGATGTGATCTTTATTTATTTATTAAAGTTTACCACATCGTGCATAGTGCTATATCTACAGTATATGTTACTAGCTATCTTTTCTAAAATATATGACAATTATGGTAAACATAATTGTAAAGAAATACAATAAAAATTACTAGTAAAACAGCGGATTAGGTATCAGATAGGCAATTAACAATGCTTTTTGAAAATTAATCAGCGCACTGGTACCGAATATCTTAAACTCTGTGTTAGTTATATTGCTGACATGTTTACTCTAAGTCAGCATTTGTGTAATTCCTATTGATGCTAACGTAGGATAACTATTATTCAACTATTTTTGCTATAAATTTATTTGTTCCAAATATAAAATTTATGTTATATTGATATTGATATATATATATGATTTGTAGTTTCATATTTTTATGCATATATGTCGTTTAAGGACTTCTAAAGTAGCTAAATGTCATGCTTTTTGTAGATGTTTTAAGATGATATATGTTCACGGTTATATTTATTAATTTCTTTACCAAGCTATATCTTATAGCTTGGTAAAGAAATTAATTTTTGGATTTTTTTAATTTTCTAATGCTTTTGTCCTAAATAATGCTTTTTGAAAATTGATCAGCGCACTACCGTTATGTTGGAGATAGATTATAATATAAACATTTGTACCTATTAGAATTATAATATTAATTTTAATTATAGCATATCTGTAAAATATACTATGTTATTCTATTCTTACGCTGTGATGACAAATAGTCCGCATAGGTTCTGAAACTAAAAAGTTCCTTAAATTTGTACTGAATAAAATCAATGAATAACTTCGTAACAAAATTGATAATTGGTTAAAAATACAAATAATTTATCTGTGTCATGTTGAACAGCCGTCCGACATCTGTCAAACTACCGAATCATAGACAAGTAGACTCAAACGATCGCATTGAACTCTTGACCATAGATACGCTATTCATGTAAAACCTCGATTCATGCGATCTTGATACAAATCAACCTCTGCGTAACCTCGGATTAAGATTTCAAGAGGGATGACCGTTATTGGGTAGGGCTGTCAAAAATTTTAAGCCAACATACTAATAATTATTTTACTATTATTTATTTATCAATACAATTGTACCTATATCTTAATTACTTGGTAAACTGCGTGCGGCAGCAGCAGTGATTTGTAAACCAAAAAACGGAAGAAAAATAATGAAATACCTTGTACATATGAAATAAATATATATATATGAACACATAAGGTTTTTAAATGTGCAATTGTACTTTAAATAAAAAAGAAAGGGATCTTCACAAGAGGCAACCCTAGCCCTGACAATAATTCACGTGAGAAAACCAACAGAATAGCTTCGTTATGAGGTTCGAGGGCTCTCCAGTATTGTGCTGATGTCAGGTTCTTCCCGCCAAAATGCTAATGAGCTCAGCCTATATGGCGACATTGATTTGACGTATAATGTGCATATTAAAAACCAACTTTTGAACAAGCCTAATGAGCTGCATATTTAAATATGTTACTCATAATGTCTAATGGTATTGATGAATTTTAGTGTAGTATAGTAATCCCCCATAACGCGGTTTTTAACCCCTATTACGCGGAGATTTGTCAATTCCATAATTAGTTTTGCGTTGTTATAAAAGTTAATAACTTTATTAAACTCGTGTTCCTAAATTTTGAAATGTTCATAAAAACGGTTTTACGAGAATACTCCTACAATGAGATTTCCTAAAACGCGGTCCGAGTCTACCGCGTTATAGTTATCTTTACTTCAAAATAAAATATATATTTTGGTCGACATCTGCTATGGTACAAAGTGTATGGGAATATTTCATTAATGCCTTATAAATTTTATTACAGTTTAATATTAAAAAATTTCAAATTACTAGTACACTTTAAAACGAAAAAAAAAACTAGTTACTAACGGGAATTCAATTAAATTTGTTTCAAAACTGCCCAGAGCAACTTTTTAAAATAATAACTAGAAAAAAAATTGTGAAAAAAGCGAGAATAAATAATAGTATTTATTTATTAATTATAAATTGTTTTATGTAGAAATTATTGTCAAGTACAGTTAACAGTGTTGGCCTAGTGGCTTCAGCGTGCGACTCTCATCCCCAGGTCGAAGGTCCAAACCCAGGCTGGGCTCGTACGACAAAAGAAATCGTGAGGAGACCGGCATGCCTTAAACTCAAAGAATCAGAGTCACAGAAGGCTGATCATCTTGACTATTAGAAAACACAGTCATCAGATACAGAACTCAGAGGCCCAGATCTAAAAAGGTTACAGCGCCACTGCTTTTATTAGTTAACATACATTTTATGCTGTGAACTAAATACCATTCATGTTTGTTCTTTATTAAAAACAATATACCGTATAGGTTTCAAAGGCTGTTTATAAATGTATACAAAATAACACAAACGTGCTTCAACAGACAAAGTTACAAAGCCGAAAATAATTATGCTAAATAATTTAGGTTCATTATTCTCAGTAAAAGCTAAAAAACGTTTTAAATGACAATTAACTTGACAATGTCGCCTTTGACCGTTTGACCTAACGACCTGACTTTCACGTTACACAGCTGTTTATTTTTTATATTGTTCTCTCCTAAATATACCGTAATAACTGTTAATTATTTTTAGCTGAGAGAAAAATTAAGAATCGTAGGAACGTAATAATTTTTATATTGCTTGCAATTTCGCCCGCATGTGTATTTTGGAAGGAATTGTTATCTCTTCATTGAATAAACGTTGTTTCAGTCAATTTACATAAAACTATATAACTTTACACCTTTTAATTTAAAAATTAAAAGTGGATGTTTAATAACTTTTAACTTAAAAAACCAGTGTCGGTAAAATCTGTTTGTGTTTTCTAATAGGATAATCAAGCTTCTGTGCCTGACACAAGCGCTTGACTCTTTGGGTATAAGGCATGCCAGTCTCCTCACGATGTCTTCTTGCATCGTACGAGTGAGTTTTTATTACTCACTTAGAAAGAAAGTCTATTGGTACACAGCCAGGGTTCGAACCAACGACTCCAGGGATGAGAGTCGCACTCAAAATTAAGCAAACACTGTTCATTCTTTTGAAAATGGAACATAGAGTTTAACCGAATAAAAAACCGTTTGGTTTGATTTGAAGAAAACGCGCTCCGACAAAAAACTATAACAAAATAACCATAAATACCATTTATTTATAATTAGTTAAAAAGTTTCATTTATAATATCAATGATGATGAACAAACAACTCAACTGCAAAGAAATATTGAGATAACTTTTCTTATTTAAATAAACTTTATATAATAAGATTAATAAGCATATATACATTATACATATATACCGTTCTACGACCCCATCTCAACCGAACGTATAAATAATAATCATACTTTGAATCCAAATGTCTGTCAATCAAAACAATTGAGAACTTAAAACAGCAATCTAAATAAAAAACATTGGACTTCAATCTGTAGAATCGACATCCCGAGCCGCTAGAAAAGCATCCACTCAAATTGATGTGATAAAAAATAAATTAAAATAACTCGTGAGGCCAGATGATATCGACACTAACGCATCCATTGTGCCTTCGGATCTAGTAGTCTCTAATTGCGGCGTCTTTGTAATACAAAATGAGGTGTTACTCTTCTATTAAATAATAAGTGGTTCGATTCTTGACGAGAATCGTTACATTCGCTGTCAGATTTCAAATTGGTTGCCGTATTAGTTATTTATTTAACATTCTCTTTCTTTTTACAGATAACGAGGAACGCCGCGCATGGAAAGGTATAAAGGAGGTCCAAATAAAGCGTCGCCGTACGCTTCTTGGACAAGTTATACCTGGAGCAAACATGCTAGCCAAAAGATTTTGCGTAACGCAGACGTAGATACAGAAGATAATGATCACCCCAGTGATATTGATCAATTACAATCTAATATCATCAATACAGTTATAGCAACAGAACCGGAAGAAAATGACTTCGAAGAAGTCAGAAAGAACGTATGGAGCGACGTTGATGACGAACTTTACATAGCTAACATAATAAAAGAAAGGACTACAAATGAAGTGAAACGCGTAATACGTGATACTAGTTGGAGTGTTAGTGATTACAGTGAGGTTGTGAGTAGTGTTAAGTTAGATAAATCCGATATGTGGGACCTGGAGCCCACGGACCTAAAGGAGTGTGATTGTCTTGGACCACCTCCTGAATTCCTGTTGCCTCCTCCGCCTCGGCCGCCTTTCTTACAGGCGGAATACTATTGTGGGGACGATCCGATAGCGGATCTGGAGACCTGCGATACGGAACCAGTAAGTTTATTTTTTTATTTTACGTCAAAATCCGAATACTTTCCTACTCTGCCGCGCTTAAAAAGTACTAGGTTAGCTATCTAGACTATTCCTTTGACTAACACTATCAATTTGGAATTACATTTGCGTTGGCGTTGCGTAGAAATACGGACCCCATCCCTCTGCATCTTCTACCGCATTTACCATGGAGAGTGTTCAGAGGTCACTGAGTTTTATCATCGGACATCAAGGCTAAATACAAAATACCATCCGTATCACCTCGACGTCCGTTGTTCCACAACTGAGCGTTTTATAAGGCAGTTTTTGCCGCGCTATGTGGAACCAGCTGTCCACTGAAGTATTTCCGAACCAATTCGACTTAGGGTCCTTCAAGAAAGGAGCGTATCAATTCTTGAAAGGCCGGCAACGCACTTGCGAGCCTTCTGGCAATGTGTGTGTCCATGGGTGGCGGTATCACTTAACATCAGGTGAGCCTCCTACCCGGTTGCATCCTATTACATAAAAAAATATTAGTAGGTTGATGTATCGCGATGTAAAAACCAGACAAATACAGTATCACATTTGAAATTTTTGTTTGCATTTCTATAAGGTTTTGATTTAGTTTACATTATAAGGAAAATTAAAACAAAACCCTTTTCTTTATTTTATTAGAATATATAGTTAATGCAAAAGAAGCAAAGGCAAAAGTCTGTAAATATCAAGTTTAATGTGGATTCTAATTGGAATGTCGCTTCATCTAGCAACGATCTGGACAAAGCGTTTGAGCAAGTGACACGTACTCATTATTTAGATTTTAAATGAGTCACGTTTCAAATTATACTTAGACCGTTTGTGATAAAAGTATTCGTGGCATTTAAAATAAAAGTTGAATTTTCTCTTTAGTCATCAGTTCCTAAGTCATTAGTAAACTATGCCATCTACGACTATCCGAAAATCTTCAGTATTTAATACCTAACATTAGATGAACTATTGAAAATTTTTGCTCATAAAAAACAACAAATCTTATCATATTTTTGATAAATTAAATCGCTAATTTAGAATAAATATAGCTTTTAAACTTATCGAATAGGTTCATTAATAAGAATACGTATCGAAATATTATTTGAAGATATATTTATAGGTTTAGTAGTTCCTTATTGGACAGTACCAATTAGAATTTCAATTTCACTAAATTGTGTATTTATTTCTTCCTTCATTCCTTCTCGCAACTCTATGTTTTATGTGCGTACCTCTAAAATTGTTTGTAGTTTTTTTTAATTGTTCAAAATGCAAGAAAATTTTGCTTACCTCACGTGATACGTTCGCTTTAAATGCATTATCTGTAGCATCTTTAACAGGCGTCACTTAAGCACGATAAAACTTTTTATTAATCGGTGTTTTTGATAAACCGTAGTTTGTTTTTACGTTTCAATCAGATAACGGTTATTGTTTAATGCCGTTTCGAAATGCTTCCTTTCTCCTATTGTCCCTTACTAAACAGTGACGTATCGCTCAATCTTATCTCTTCCATGTTTTGTCCTAGAATGGTAATGAATAAGCGGTTTCGAGTAACTAAGTAAATATTTAGTATAATGCACTTAATGAAGGCGCGGCTACAATACATTTTATCTTGAGATCTCAAAGTTTTTTACGATGTCTATAAAGCTTTCCTTTAACTTGGATTAAATGTGTGTAGAGTACGGACGGCGCTTATTACACTCGCATTCCCACCGAAGCCAATAAAACAATTGTATTATTTGAGGTAATTTTGAGACAAAGCATTATTTTTTTATTACTTCACGATGTTTGGGAAAGAGTACTGATTTGAAATCCCAGTTTGTTATTAATATGTCAATAACGCTTTTCATGAAATTGATCATAAGTTTCTTACCTTCAAATTGTGTTTATAGTATGACGCTATATGAAGGAAAACATCGTGAGGACACCAGAATGACTTAGACCCAAAAAGTCGTATTGTAGTATATGTAATATGAGATATATGTTTAAAAAAATGAAACATACAGAAATCTGAGGCCCTACTGGTATTTACTGACTGCATGTAAGGAATATACCTATTAAGAAAAAAAACGTAATATATTTATTCCCAACATTGTATAGTCATAATAATAATAAAAATTAAAACAAATTTAAAAAGGTTGGTTTCTGTGGCAGTGTACTATAAACTTTTAGCATTTTTTTCGCTGTTTTGCTATACTTATTCGTTGAAAAATAATTAGATAAATAATAATATAGACCGTTATTCAGACAGAATTTTACATAAATTTAAACTTAAACTAGTGACTCTACCGGTGCGACAACCCATCTGTATTCCCAATTCCAATTAGATATAGCGAATGATTCATTGACAAATATCTTAAATATAAAATCAGGTAAAAAAATTATATCTGACTGTAAGCTAAATTATTCCCGCTCATGATTATCACCGCGCTCTAGAACCCGAAAGGTGCTTTCTATTTGGAGTTATGGAAGTCTGTGGTAACGGTTTATTGCTTAGATTTCGTAAGTACACGAAATGCTAACATTGATACAGTATGTTTACTTACTTCATTCTCGCCCTCGCTAAAGCCTGGCATTAAGAACAGTAATCTAAGAATTAGAGGCAGCGTTAGTCATCATTTTTTGTATACTTTTAAATCAACCAATTTCTCTTTATGTTGAAGCTATATTTAGTACCTATATTATGTACTTATAGTACATTTATTTATTTTCATTTTATTTATTGCAAGAATATGGTACAAAAATGTGTAGGTGGTACAACCGTAAATTCGCATATTCTGCCACACACAATGGCGCGCAAATTTTTCTTAAGGAATTTTACATTTTACATTATTAGCCAAAGTCAATTCTTATATTATTTGTATCGTACATATCATATCTTATTAAATTTATATCAACTACAGTGTCTCACCCAAATAATCATTTATTGAATATGACATTTTTTTCAAAAGTAATACACCAAATCGTTTCTTAAAGACTCAAGTCGGAAGATCTTTCAATTATTTTGGTAATTTATTGTAAACCTTAATTGCCATACAAAAGATGTTTTTCCTAAACAGTTCCAGATTGATTTTTGGCACAGCCAATTTCTTCCCATGTCTACTTCTTACTTCGACTTCTACATTCATAACAGAAGCCACACATAGTGTCGTGCGACCCTCATCCTTGAGGTCATAGGATCGATCCCCGGCTGTGCACTTGGACTTTCTTTCTATGTGCGCATTTAACATTCGCTCGAACGGTGATGGAAAAACATCGTGAGGAAACCAGCTTGCCTTAGACCCAAAAAGTCGGCGTGTGTCATATACAGGAGGCTGATTACTATTGCCTATTAGATTGACAAATGATTATGAAACACATACAGAAAGAGGCGCAGACAGTATATTTATTATTTAAAGTTAGGTGATTCAATTATAAACCGGATAGACTTATCTGGCAGAAATTTAGACGTTCAGCAATTATTAATTTTCAAATGGAAATTCAATTTAAATTAAATTTGTTTAGTGTTCTCTATATACTTAATTAAATAGAAGAGAAATTTTTTAACAATCCATTTAATTACGACATTAACTGAATCAAAGCGAGCAGAAAAAATCCTTAAAAAATAACCAAGATATCGTTTAAGCTACCTTTCAAACAAAAAACTTTAAACAAAACCCGTCAATCCGATTAGGACCTACGATACACGTCAAACTTCTAACCCTTTTTTGCGTTAGGGTAAATGGCTTATAACCGCCCCTAAAACCTTGTAAAGCCCATGCTAAAGTAACGTTGTAACGGCTATTTAATTTGAATAAAAAAAAATTAAAAGTCTTGATGTTTTATTAACTGATTTTATTTAATTAGGAGGATATTTTATACATTGATTTTGTCGCCACTGGTATTTAAGTAAATACTGCCGCAATTTTGTACAAACAACTTGACCAATGTTAGGAAAAACGAGACGTGGAACTTTCGTCGTTCAAAAATGGTAATCACGAAAACACTTGTAATGAATATAGGTGTCGCTGTAATAACCTTTCCCTCTCTATCTATAAATTAAAACTTATTTCACCAGAATAAAAATTATAATTAAGTAATTATAAATTGATTAAAATCATAATTGTCTTAGCTGCGGCTTTCCACCCAATTTCTCCAAAACTTCCAGCGCTCCCTGTCCTGTACTACCGCCAATTGCTGAATTTCAGCTGAAGCAGGTCTTCCTCCACTCTGTCGATCTAGTGGGACATGTTCTCCGACCACAACTGCGACTCGTTTTCATTATAAATTCAACGAATCGTGATAATAGTGTGTCGTGTAGAATCTAACCGTTTTCAAAGTAAATAAATTTGTTACGAATTAAAAATGACACGCTCGTTAGGTGTCCAAAGACATAATTTTCCCTAATTGGCCTTTAAATTTTTGCGGTCTAGCGAATTGAGTTGTTGAAATTAATAAGACCAATTTCTTAGAGTCGCCGAGTTGATTCACACTTCGAGGAATCCTCGGGTGGCCTACGGGTGAGGCACAGTTCTAATTAAACAGTTGTATGAAGCTTTTTTATAAATTAATTTTGCAAAAAATACATGACATATTAAGCTATTCTTAACATTAGACTATTAATTAAAAAACTACGTTTAATTATTTTTAAGAATTATAAATGTAAATTATCAGATGAATGGGACCTTTAAAAGTTGAATGTTATATATACACGTCAAAGATAGTATAAAGCTATGCTATACAGATATAGTATAAACGTCATAGGCTAAACATATAAAAGTGGCGCTATAACCTCTAGTTCTTAAGATTTGTGTACTTAAGTACACTTGGCGTCAAAAAAATCGCACCTTTCTTAAAATTCGTGTCAAGCGATTATAACTTCTAAGATCCTTCCTGTACCCTATCATTAGTAGTATCATTTAAAAGCTCAATTAATAAGCTTTCAAAAAAATAATCATTTGTTTACGGAAAATCAAAAACCACAAATCATCAGCACTTTGATTAAAAAGTGGCGATGTACGCGTTTGGAGGCTCACTAATTGTACCACCCTGGACGCGTATATAAAGAGGGGGTAATAGTCAATGATGGGTTATTCGCTATTCAGACGTCACAGAGGTCACTCCTAAAGAGCTTCAACAAGAAAAAACCCAGTGAAAATGGATACCATGGCAAAGAAGCAGCTCAAGTGGTGGCCCTACTGCAAATCGGACTACGGCAGGTTGAAGTTGCTCGGCAACTGAAAATCAGCCGATTTCGAGTGCAACGGGTATACCAACGGTTCAAAGAGACTGGAGGTTACATCAGGAGACATGGATCCGGGAGACGTCGCTGCACTACCGTCAGAGGTGATCGCTCCATTGTGTCAACGTCTTTGCGGAACCGCTTCTTCAACGCTATGGAGCTGCATCAGCGGCTTTCAGCTACTCGAAGGACAGCTGACAGCGTCTCCACTATCAGAAGAAGGCTGTGAGAGAAGAATTTGCTGCCCCGGAGAGCTGCTACAGGCCCCCTATTGACTACCATCCACCGGACGAAAAGGAAGCGATTTTATGAAACGCACGTGCCGTGGACATTCGACCATTGGAGGAATGTCCTGTTCTCCGACGAAACCCGAGTGTACGTGTACACCAACAACATGCGTAAGAGAGACTACAGGCGGCCAGGGGAGCGTTTCACACCAGCCTGCACCGTGGAAACCGTCGGGTATGGAGGAGGATCCAGCATGAGGAGGATCCCTAGAAGGGCGGTATTTCTATCGACGGCAAGACAGACCTCGTGTGCGTCTCCAGAGCTGGAGAAAGTCGCGGCCAGGGGTCTCTAACTG